TAGCGAGAAGACGTTGTATCGTATAAACTTCAAAGTGCGATTACTACTATAGTTTTGTGCTTAGGTGTTTATTTCAACTTGCATTAAAGAGAGGGTTTAACTATAATTCCAAGACTGTAAAAGATTTTTTTAATTTCTTAACGGTGTTAGTATAAAATAACATAATTTTGAGGATTGCTTGTCCCCTAGTACCGGACACAAGGAATTCCCCTAGTACCGGACAGTTAAAAAATTGGTTTTTGTAGGTAAACTCAGAAAAAATTTTTTTTCTAAAGTTGGTGATTTTATTTTACAATATCTTTGGCAATAACACTTCATTTAATACAGCAAGAATACAGTTTTTGATCGCTGCATCATTTTTCAATAATATCTTGCGTGTAAAATTAAAAGTTTTAGACTGTCCGGTACTAGGGGACAATTTCAAAATTGTAGTATTTCGATACCAAAACTAAATTGAACTTAAAAAAAAAGTTTATCAAAATATTCTATTTTTGTTAATTGATTTTGGTGTTATATATTGTAGAGTTAATTAATTCATAAATGAAGTCATATTTTTTGAAGTAGTTTTAATTTTATTTCATGAAAACCTTAGGTGTCCGGTACTAGGGGACTTCCCCCTATATATTCAAATAAACAAAACCAATTTGCCACATCGTGTATAAATTCCTCCTCTCGATTTACAGCTCAAAAACAAAAGATCCCATTCGATGGGAGGGGAAAAGAAAAAGAAAACCAATAACGGTACTTATATGTAGAACCTGTCGACGTTTATGCCCCTCAAATACATGATGGACATTTTTTTCCTCCCGGTGCTGTATAGGGCCACCTTCATTCTCGAGCCTCTCTCGTCCTCGTTAATTCACGATGCAACGAAGATGAAATTGGCAGAAAAGGACTCGACGAGAAAAAACAAGAGAAGAAGAAGAAAAAAAAAGAACCGACGTACGTTGTACCCTATTCGAAAGGAGTTTTACCACAAGAAGGGGGTGGTAGTGAGAGGGAACTGCAAAACGAAAAGAGAATGGTCTGAGAGAAAGAGAGATAGTGGAAGATAGCGGAACAAGAGAGGGGAACGAGAGAAGAACCACGGCCCTAGCCTTGAGCACAACACGACCCGTTTCAAAGACACGTATAGGGGCATAAGCAAAAAGGGCGCCCCCTCAAGAGAGAGGACAGAGAGAAAATAAAAAACTCTGTCTCTCTCTTTTTTTTCTCCATTTTTTATTTTCTCTCTCTCTTTTTCTATTTTTAATTAATAAACAAAGAGGAAAAGGAAGAGACGAAGAGAATAGGTAAGAAAGAGAAAAATAAAAAGAAAAACAGAGAAAGAAAGAGGGAGAAAAGATAGAAAGGAAGAGAGAGAACAAGGCAGAAAGGAAAGTGAGAAAAAAGATTAAGGGGGAAGAGAGTGAAAGAAACAAGGATAGAAAGAAAAAGAGAGAAAAGTAGATAAAAAAGAGAGAGAAGAAGATAAAAACAAAAATAGAGAGAGAGAGAGAGAGAGAGAGAGAGAAGAAAAGAGGGAAAAGCTAGATAGAGAGAAAGGAAAAAATAGAAACAAAAATTCACAGAGAAAAGTCAGAAAAGAGAAAAAATTAAAAAAAGGGAAAAAAGACAGAAAGAAAAAAAGAGAAAAGAAGAAAGAAAAATGGAGAAAAGAAGAAAGAAAGAGAAGAACGTAGATAAAGAGAGAGAAAAAAGCATAAACAAAAAAGAGACAGAGGGGGAAAAATATAGAGAAGAAGAAGGAAAGAGAGAACAAAATAAAAATAGGAAGAAAAATAGTGAATAAAAGAAGAAAAAGATAAAAATTAGAAAGGGAGAAAAAACGTAAGAAAGAAGAAATCGAAAAAGAGAAATAAACAGAAAGAGAAAAAAAGGAAAAGAAAAAAGACAGAGAGAAAATAGAAAGAAAAAGAAAAAATATAGAGGGAAAATAGAAAGAAAAAGAATAAATATAGAGGGAAAAAATAGAAAGAGAAGAAAAAATAGAGAGAAAGAAAAAGGAGAAAAATAATAAGAGAGTTAAAGAAGAAAATAGGGAAAAAATAGAAAAAAAGAGAGTGTGTGTGAGGGAGAGAATGCAAAGGGAAAGGGCTTGCCCTAAAATATGTGAACCCTGAAGGCAAAGTTGGACTCCTCGTTACATTCGTGGCTGATGCCCGAGGCGAATACGCGTCTGTATATCGTATGATACAAAAACATCACATTATTTTCTCTCAGCGCGAACGAAGCGAGCGAACCAGAGAAACGAAAAACCCTCTGGGCATGTGACCACCATTATACCTCTCTCACAGTCCAACCACCATTCTCCACCACCTCCATCCACTCCCCCTAAAGCATGACTCTCACACCGTCACCCTATATCTCTACCTTTTCGTCTACATTACCACGGATTACGGATTATGCGCAGCTTTTGAAAATACAAAGTTGACCCACAATATATACAAAGCAAAATGTAGCAAAAAAAAAAATAAATAAATAAGTTAAATATATTTTTTTTTCCTCATTTCACTTATGCTTCCCTACCCAACTTCTCTGATTTAATATTTTCCTGCAAATTTTCTATTTCGACTTCTATCACTGTTCACTCTTAAGTATCAAATTGTAACAAATTGGTATCAATATTGTGATCAAGTAAAAATTTCCTAAATTTAGTTTTTTTAATACAAAATTTTGATCAATTTGATAAAAAATTTGGATCATTTTGAGAACAGATTGTATCAATTTAATACCAAATTAAAAACATTATGGATCAAATTAGTATCAAAAGTTTTGATTGACTTCTTACCAAATTAAATCAAATTGATACTAAATTAAAACAAAAAATTTGTATACATTTCACATCAAATTATAGATCAAATTGGTACCAAGTTTAAACTGAAAATTTGCATACATTTGAAACCAAATTAAACCATATTGGTATCAAAATGTTTCAAATCGATACCATATCGAAACTAAAAATTTGTATACATTTGATAACAAATTGGTACCAAAATGTTTCAAATCGGTACCAAATTAGATCAAATTGAAACAAATAATTTGCATATTTACATTTTATACCAAATTAAATCAAATTGGTGCCAAATTAGATCAAATTGGTACCAAATTGAATCAATTTAATACCAGACTGCTACCAAAAATTTAAATAAAAATTAAACCAACTCGAATCAAATTGATACCAAAACATTAGATAAATTTTATACGAAATTTGATCAAATTAAAGTTTGATTAATTGAATCAAAACAATGATATCAAAAATTTAGATCAATTTGTGATTGAATTAAAGCAAATTCATATCAAATTGAAACAAAATTTTGGTTACATGTTATACTAAAATTGATTTAAATTGATGAGAAAAATTTAAATCAGTTTGATACGGTTTCAAATTTATCTACATTTTTCTAATCAATTTGATACAATATTGGATCAAATTGGTTCAAATTGGATTAAGTTGACAAAAAATTATATCAAATTGATATGTTAAATTAAAATTGGTACTAAATTGATACCAAACTGAGTCAATTTGATACCAAAAATGTAAATCAATTTAATATCGAATCGAATCAATTAGATTCAAAATATTTGTTTTAAAAACATAGAAAATTTAGAGCGGAAAATCAAAGATTAAAAAATTTCTTATTGATAACAGTGAAAAAGGAAAATGGTGTTAACAATTATTCAATTTTGGTGTTAACACAAAAAATTATCGACAATAAAAGTGAAATAATTAATAATCATCAGAAACTAAAAATAAACCCTCAAAAACAAAGGCGAAGGAAAATTAATTTTTAAGGTAACAACTTACCCCACAACCCTTACCTATCGTATTATACCAATTGAAATCAGTTTAATTACTGAGTGCAAAATTAATAACCGAAAATTAGTGAAATTTTCCCAAATGGGGTCTATGGTGCAAAGAGATATTCTCTCTACAATACGCTACATCTATATTCAGTGTCTTAATCAACTTGATTCAATTAGGATCCAACTTAACAACTTTAACAGAGTCCCCTCACTGTCCAATAATACCCTAAATAATGCTGTTAGTATCCTCTTCGTCTTTCGCACACTAAATACACCCCAGTGATGACAAAACCAAATTTTATCATTCTCACAAATGAATAAGAATAATTGTACCGAGAGTGAGAGTTAGAAATGATTGGGGACAATGTACACCCCTCAAAAGAATGTGTTTAGACAGACTCTATGAAGGCTGAGGATGAGCAATTCGAATTAGCATATAATTACAATTTCAATAGACACCAAAGGGGTAACAGATGAGTGAATGTAGTATAAGAGACAGATGACATCTAAATCAATTTAATAAAAGAAAAAAAATATCTTTTAAAAAAATAAATTATATTTACTAGGAAACAAATTTTAAATTTTAAATCTCGGCTAGTGAAATAGTAAAGTTACCAACCCACGGCTTATAATTAATTATTTCAAAAGTCTAGAGAGTAAAAAAAGAGGATTTCTAAAAAAGAGGATGTCGAGGTTAGTTGTAAACCTGATTTCCTTCGTGACAATCCTCATAAATAGGGGTTTCTTCACTTGTATGGGGTGTGTTTGCTCGGTTGACTCGTTCTTAGTGAGAGATGCACTTGAGCGGGAATTACGAGCACAAGGGAAGAAACGAGAAAGCACTCGGGGGTCTTCCTTCATCGTAGTACCCGGTGTCTCGTCAGCTCATATCTCATTTTATTTAATTGAGCTACTCGAATTCTCCTGAATTATATAATTTACAATTCCTCTCATAACACTAAATCTACCTCTTTACCCCAAAAAAAAATTTCAATTACTTTCCAACAAAAATTGAAACTATTCTCCATTTAGAAAACAAATAACAAACCGAAAAAAAATTTAAAATATAGAACGGAAATTGCGATAAAAAAATTATAAAATCTGATTTAAATTTTTTGAAAATGAACATTGTGAACAGAAAGAAAAAAAGAACAGAACTAAATTATATAACTCTGTGTAAAATTTTCTCTTACCATATAGAACACTGCAACTTTGTCAGCTTCCTTTGCTAGAAGTTTCCTCCAGTACACGTTTCCTGCAACATTAAATAATAATTTAGATGAAACAAAATAGCTCGAAATTATTTAATTTAAATTATAAAAAATGTATGACAATTTAAACATGTTTTCTGATTCTTTTTGTAGTTAACTTCAAAGAAATTAGATTATTAACTAATTTCTATAAAGTTAACTTCAATTAATTAAGTTAAATTCAATTAAATTTAACTTTTCTGACTATGTCTCTCCACTTTTATCAAAATCCTGACATGCTAGACAACTTTAGCACCCGGGATCGTATTCAGCGATCAAAAATACGTTGAAAACCATTCCCATATCAAAAATAACAAGAAAAAACTTTTTTTGGGCTTTACACCCACTTTTCTCAAAATTCTGCAGTATCAAACAATTTTTGGACCCAATATCGTGTTCAGGGGACCAAAATACATTAAAAATCATTCCCTTATCAAAAATACAAAAAAAAATCTTTTTTGGGTCTTTACCCCCACTTTTTTCAAAAATCTGCAGTGGCAGACAATTTTAGGACCTGGCATCGTGTTCAGCGATCAAAAATACGCTGAAAACCATTCCCATATCAAAAGTAACAAAAAAAAATCTTTTTTGGGCCTTTACCCCTACTTTTTTCAAAATTCTGCCAGGGTGGATAATTTTTGGACTTCGAATCGGATTCATTTGGTAAAAAAAAATTGAAAATAACTGCGATATCAAAAATAAATAGGCGAATTTTCTAACCCTAAGTAATCGTTCTCCAACGATAAATGCAAAGAGTCCGACTGTCTGGTCAGAATCCAGATTAAGACTCCAGAAAAAGGGTTTCAGTTTGGAGACTCCAAACCGAAACCCATTTTTTGGAGTCTTAATCTGGACCCATTTTAAGCATTCTACCAAATTGAACCCAGATCGGAAAATTATTTCTGCTTTCCAAAAAAAGAAAAAATTTACAAAAAAGTCTACGCGATCGTGAATGAATATAAAGTATAACCAAAACATTGAAATAGAAAAGACAAAAAGAAATTTGTATATTGCATTGGCGAATAGGATTCACATTTATGAGATAACGCTTGCATATATATGTATCTATAAAACGTCTCGGCATGCACCTTTGTTGTAAAGTGAAGCTGCAGTACACACTCTGGCCATCGGCCATTCGAGAATAATGGGGCAGTTGCGAGAGAGACTTGCGAGTGCCATGCCGATATAAAGGGAACCGGGTTTGACCCGTTCTGTCGTATTGGAGGAGCCCTTAGGCGAAAACGGCCACGGCCAACAACATCGTTCTCAAAGATGCCCAAGAGCACTTCGAAACCCGAAACGATGCCGCCTCGCATACGTAAAAGCCAACTTTACCATGGACAAGGTGACGTCTGACCTTAACAATTTTTTTGTTTTTTGTGTTTTTCTTTTACACTTCTATTCTATGTTGATGATGACACCAAATGAATTTTCACCAATTTTTTCATTTCTAGTTATTTAATTTTTATTTCCAATCAGTATACCAAAGTCCCAAAATTATTTCTCAAAATGGTTACTCGGGGATTTTCGGGGTCGCTAATTACGAATCTGAAGTCTGATTTTAAAAATCCAAAATGGCGGACTCAATATGGCGGACTTTTTAAAAATATTTTATGGATTCAAAAAAAGCTTGGCGTAATAATAATGAAAGCTAAAAAAAATACGAGACAAAATAATTCAGCCGAATTTATTTCTCAATTCGAGGGGAAAAAAATGTGTTTAAAAGAAGAACCACTGCAATTTGTACCTAATGCATTTGTGGAGGTGAACTGCAAGTGTAGGTGGTGATGGATGCTGGACAAAGAGAGAGAGAGAGAAAGAGAAAGAGGTGAAAGAGATGAAGTTTGAGGGGGTAGGGATAAACAGGCAGAAGCGAGAGAAAACTACATTACTCTGTTCAACTCAGTTGAAGCTAGGCTGCAGCAGTGCGCGTATCGTGAAAGCCGAGTCTTCACGTGCAACCAATACCACGTGGTTGTAGTGTTATCATTTGTGTTTTTGTCATTCGTTATAGAATAAAGTGCTTTTTAAATTTAAACAAAACAAACGAGAACGTGATTTTTGTTTATTTTTATTAAACAGAAATAGAAAAACAATTATTTGTTTTTAAATAAAATACTCGAAAGTATTCTCATATCTCTTGCACTGTGGATACCAGAGAAACCGTCAACCTGGAGCCCACGTGCCAGAAACGGTGAGATAATGTTAATTAACTGAATTATAATTCAAAGATCTAAATCAGAGTTGAAAGAAATTGACAATTGGAAGCAAAAATTGCCATTTTTTATTAGATTGTTGAAGTTATTTTCTACTTTTTAACTGGGGTCGAATTAGAACATCGAGACACCGATTCTTTGACTAGTAGATAATAAACCAAAAACTAGATTTTATTTAAAAGACTTTAAAAAGAATACTAAATTTTATTCAGTATTTAGAACTAAAAATAAAAACTGAAAGCAAAACTAATATGAACTGACGGCAAAACTAAGGGGCCATCCATAAACCACGTAGCCTCTTGAGGGGGAGGGGGGGGGGTCAAGCAATTGACTACGACAAGAGGAAAAAATGGCGCTAATACATGTAATAGCGTACTACATGGGGGGAGGGGGGGTCAAAATTCCCCAAAAATGGGGCTACGTGGTTTATGGACGGCCCCTAATGAGTACTAAGAAGTAGTGAAACCGAAAGTAATTTAAGAACCGAAGACAAAACTAATAAGAACTCGGAACGAAACTAGTAAAAACTAAAACCGAAAATAATTTAAAACCCGAAGACAAAACTAATAAGAACTAAAACCGAAAGTAATTTAAGAACCGAGGACAAAACTAATAAGATAACTCAGAACGAAACTAGTAAAAACTAAAATCGAAAATAATTTAAAAACCGAAGGCAAGACAAAGAAAAAATAAAACCGGAAGTATTTATTTTATACTGTAAAAAAACCAAATACGAAACGAATATAAAAACAGAAGAAAAAACTAATAAGAGCTGAAAACGAAACTACTAAAAATACACCGCAAATGTAAAACAACATCCACTGAATAATTAAAATACCTTTTACAATAATTACCCTTCTTAAAATTCTTGTAAAACTTATTACTAACAGAACAACAAATTAACACAATCTGACAAATCCCAAAACGAATCTTTATCCATATAATAACCATTAACAAAGAAAAAATTAACCACATCTCTAAATTTTTCCTCAACATTAAATGATATTAATGATATAAATTATCGCCAAACGCTTCTCAAAATCCTATTATACTTATCAGCAAATCTCCTTTGAACTTTATGACAAACTTAATTAAAAGAGATTACGCACTTATATACATTTTAAAAACAAACATTTTCTTTTTTTAAACGAAATTTAATGATCGGTATTATTAAATTTTATTATCTGGAAACGAAGAACGCTCAATTTTCATAAAACAAGATATTAAAAATTCTGAACCACCTTTCAAGTTTAATTAAAAACCTACATATATATAAGCTCGCAATATACGAAATCTATACGCGCGATTATAAGAGGAGACTTATGTCACATATAAATATAAATTATCCTGAGAAAAGTCACTTTAAGCTTTACTATCAGACAAGTATATTCCCGCTGTAATTAGCAAACAGGAACAATTTATGAAAGACTGCGGCTTAATTGCTCGACCACATTATGTCTCTCACTTCGTTAGGCACAGATTTATTATCCTTCACCTTCCCTTTGCACAATTCAATTTCCTGTTATAACTACTTTACAACTTTATTTATAAGATTTGATATTTTTTGTTTTTTATACTTAATGCATTTTTTACTATCTTTAGAAAAATTTATAAAAATACAAAAAAATAGTTCATGTAAAAAAATTGCTTTACTGTAATTTCTTTTAAAAACCAGTTTTAAAATTCTATCATCTGCATAATAAACATTAACATATATGTGCGATCATATATAGAAGCTCAAAGAAAAAAATTTCTACTGCATATATTAAAATAGGACCAAATGATATGGAAAATGGCTCCATCTACGCAGTGATCAAAGCGAGTCCTCTGGGTATCAACATTTTCTCTGAGCTGAATTTATTTAATATGTATATATTTGAAAAAATTAATGTCACCGTTAATGAAACTAGAATCAAATAGAAACTAATTGCAATCATTAATATTCTAAACTGGATTATTAAACTGTACGAAAAGCTGTATAATATGAATGCTTATCCGCTGGTTGTTAGTTGCACTTCAAGTCATATGATTTACGCACTAAGAGAAAGAAAAGGGGATCGTAAAATATTGAATGAGAACTTAATTTAAATCAAGTGGGTTGATTAACCTGTAAAATGTTGATATATTTTTGTTAAATATTACATGCGAAAAAAAATCTGTACCTAAAACAGTTATAAATTTAAATTTATTTTTAATTTTATTAATTAAATTTTTAGTTGTTTCAATTAATAAACTTTTTGTTGTACCAATAAAATTTTTGTTGTCTTAACCAAACTTTGCTTTGGTTTTGATTGTTTCAACACAACCATAACCTTTTATTTTGTAGCAACAAGCAAAATTTTATTCACAAAAATTCCAACCAAACAGTGAGTTTAAATCTTTAAATACCAACCAAATGTTTTGTTGCGGCAAAATCAAACTCTTTTCCCATTGTAAATATAAAATAAAAAAAAACTACAAAATATAAAAATATAAATAAAAAAAAGTAACAAAGTTCGCATACATAGAAAAAAAACTATCTAATTAAAAGTTTTTTACCCTTTTGTACCCACAGCATAATCCACAGAACTACGCGTCAAACTTCCAGGGCACTGGACAGATTCCCTATCAAGCGCCACAATAGAAATAATACGAAAAAACTCCAATACTGGTTAGGTGGCCCGAATAAAAAACCCCACGCAATATATAAAATGGACAGAGGGCTTCCGGAATGATGGGAATGAGTTGAGTTGCAAGGGGATGGGATGGGATGAGGGTCGGGGGCAAAAGGAACTAGGTGAAGCCCTAAGGATACGCTGCAGGCTAAAATGCGTTCTGCAGTTGCCGTAATTAGAACCGAACGCCCCAAGCAAATGCCCCCCGGCTGACGAGTATCTCGCGAACCGAAATTATTCATGAAGCGAACAGAGGAAGCACAATTTACCCGCAAATATTTTATCTCGTTCGTCTCAATTGACCACACATTGTATATGTGTGTGTGTGCATTTTCGTTCAAAAAAGAAAAAAAGAAAAAAAATTTCGACATTTCGAGAACATTGCCATCACATTTTCTATTATATTTTTTAACAATAATATTCATGTATATAATAACAATAGAAATTATTAAACGACCTCCAATGTTTTATTATCAACAAAATTATTATGAATGTTAATATTATCATAATTATTATACGAATAATTATTAATAATCATAATATCATGATAGGGTTTTTCTAACCATTTCAGATTTAGAGAATAATAAATATTGTAATTTTTACTAATTTAGTAGTAAAACTCATTCAAAAGCCAAAAGTCAGTTACTGATAATTCAAATTAGTAAACATTTTTACAAATTTAAATTTAAAGACTTTTAAATTGGCAAATTTTACTAATAAATTACTAGAAATTACAAATAAATTAGTGACTTACTTTTTGCGTTTAAATTAGTAAATTATACTAGTAGAAATTACTATTTATTAGTAAAAGTACCTAATTTAAAGGTAAAAAGTCAGTCACTAATTCAAATTACTAAACAATTTTTACTAATTCATTTTTAGAGAGTACATTTGAGGCCTTGGATCCAATAACTCGCCCGACGCTCGGAGGAACGCGCAACTGCCAGTCAGTGAGCAGTGAGCGCCTCTGGGCCACTCACTGCTACCCGACTGGTATTAGCGCGTGCCTTCGAGCGTCGGGCGAGTTATTGGATCCAAGGCCTCATTTTTATTAACAACAACATGATTGAAATAAATATTATAAAAGGAAAAGTTGCCGTAAAACGAGAAATTCTTTCCCACATGAAAAGTATTTACCTGTCTCATAAAAATTATTGAACAGCTCTTAAACAAATATTCAATTTTCTCTAAATCGTCTTTTAAATATTTCCTACCTACTTCACGTCAGTATATCTATAATTAGTGAAAGCATAATTGAAACATATCTACAATTTCTCAACAACATTTTCAGTCTATAGTTCATAAAAATTAGAAATTAAAATATAAATTAAAATATCTACTAAATAAGCAAACATTCAACAAAACAGAAGTAAATTTCTACCAGAATAACAAATTTTAGTGATTTAATATTAGTAACTGGCAACAATTCGCGCGCGGCTAACTTCTAACTATCTTTTTTTAAATAAAATTAGCAATTTTAAAAATAATAGACTTTAAAAATTTTCTAATTTAAATTTTTCTTGAAAACACTAAAAAAAATTCAATTTTTGAAAAATTACAAATAAATTGCAGAAATTCAATTATTTCCCAAAAAAAATAAAATTCTTTTTATAAAATTCAACTATGTTCAAAATTTGAAAAAAATTCTCGTAAAAATCCTAATTCTCTTTTATAAATAACAAAATTCTTCTCCAAAATTCAATTATTTTCATAAATGTCAAAAAAATTCTTGTCATAATTTCAATTATTTTCGAAAATAAAATGCATTTTTCTAATTTCAATGATTTTCATTATCTTCTATTTTAATAAAATTTATCAAAAAGAATTCAATCATTTAAAAAAAATTTTAATAAAATTGTATGCAAACATTTAATTATTTTCATAAAAAATAATTTAAAATTCTAGAAAATAATAATTGAATTAAAATGATGAAAATAATTTTGATGAAGTTACAGTAACAATATTCTTATTATATAAAATAATGATTTTATCTCTCGGTCATCTTTAATTATTAGAAAACATGAAGAAATCGATCACTTCGAGTCTTCGACTCGGAGCAATCGATATCTTCATGTTTTACAACAATACTTTTATAAGTTTTTTAATTTAGAAAAGGTTTGAATTTGAATCTTTTGAATGTCTTAATTCGTGTGGAAAATCCTGTTCCAAAAATAAGATTAAAAATAGGCATTGTGCAAATATTTTTCTTCTTTTTCTAAAACAAAATAATAATTTTGTTAAAAAAATTGTGATTCATAAAAAAAAATAATGCAAAATAAATAAATTTTCTATTTCTTAATTACAGTTGTTTAACAATTTTCTAA